GGGGGGGGGGCATGTAGCTCAGTGTGAATGTCCTGGGTTCAATCACCAGTAGGAAAAAAAAAGGCATTCAAAAGAAGGCGAATAAGCATATGAAAAGATTTTCCACACATTCTGTCACCAGGGAAATGCAAATTAAAACAACTATGAGGTACCATTACACACATATTAGAATGACCAAAATCCAGAATACTGACAACATAAAATTTTGGCAAGGATTTGGAGTAATAGGAACTCTTTTTCATTGGCAGTAAGAATGCAAAACAGTACAGCTATTTTGAAAAAGCTTGGTAGGCCCTTACAAAGCTAAACCTACTCTTATTATGTAATCCAGCAATCATATTTTTTTGGTATTTACTCAAATGAGGTAAAGACATGTCCTTACAAAAGCCTACACATGGATGTTTATAGGAATTTTACTCATAATCACCCAAACCTGGAAGCAACAAAGGTGCTCTCTAGGTGAGTGAAGTCAACAGCAGCACCTCCAGGCAACAAAACATTATTTGGTGCTAAAAAGAAATGAGCTATTAATCACAAAAAGACATGGAGAAATCTTAAATGCATATTAATAAGAGAAAGCAGCTAACATGACAATGTTTAATACTGTATGATTCCAACTACTTAACATTCTGGAAAAGGAAAACTTCGGAAACAGTAGAAAGATCAGTGGTTACTAGAGGTGGGAATGGGGCCAGAGAAGAGCACAGAGCATTTTTAGGGTGGTGAAAATACTCTGTATGGTACTAAATGGTGGAGATATATATATTATATATTTGTCTAAGTCCATTTAATGTATAACACCAAAAATGAGCCCTAATGTACACCAAGGACTTTGGGTGATTATGATGTAACAGTGTAGCTTCATTAATTGTAACAAATGTACCTGTTCTGATGAGGGATGTTGATAATGCAGGAGGCTGGGGGCTGATAGGTGAGAACTTTCTGTACCTTTCTCTTACTTTTATGTGAACCTAAAATTGCTCTTTAAAATTTAAGTTAAAAAAAAAAGAAATGAAACATGGTCCCTGCCATCTGAGCAATAATTTAAGGTTCACAAAAACATTTTTCAGACTTAAGCTACTTTGAATATCATATCATCTTCACTTAGGAGATGAGGAAATTCGGGTTCAGAAAGTTTATGTGACTTACCTCGAGTCATACAGCCAGTAAGTGGAAAAATGTGTCTCAGCCTTAAATTCTCATGTCTGCCCCTTTGAATATCTTCATAATAATAAGGAGAAAGGTGAAATGATAGGATAAGAGAACAATCAAAGAAAGCTTCCTGGGACACAAGGAGTATGACAGGAATAAGGGACAGAGGCATTACTGGGGTTATCCGTTGGGCAGGGGTGTGGGTTTTTTGCAAGGAAGTAGTAGGAAATCAAGTTCAGCACAAGTTGAAACCAGCTAGTAGAAGATTTTTGAATGCCAGCTTGAAGGGAAGATCCCCTGAGGGGTTTGGGGCAGGGGTGTTTCCCAGGTAAATATTAGGAATCTTGCTTGGTGCTGGAATGTAGGATGGGTTGGAGGGAATGGAGAAATAAGGGGCAGAGCCAGCAGCCCTAGGTGTTTTTATAGGGGTTCCAGAGAGACTAGGGTGGAAGTAGAGGCTGGGTCATTGCTGGAAGATACTCCAGTGAGGCTTGTTGAATGAGTGTGAGTGTGTGTGTGTGTGTGTGTGTGTACATGTACATAAATGCATGTGGCCATAGCCATGTGCTGGGAAGGCCATGGCATTTAGCACTAGGCTGTGAAGGAGGGTGGTGTGTGGATCACTGGCCAGGCTGGGGCTGAAGTGTTGAGAGGACACTCAGCTGCGAAAGCCAAGTGGAGTATTGGAAAGTTGAGCCTGGGACTCAGAGGGGAGGAGTTATGGGGTTAACTAGCTTCTGGTGTGAATTAATCACCAATTAACTGATCATTCCAGAAGCAAAATACTGCCTGTAAATTCTCATACTTTTAAGGAAAACTCCAACCCCATTACTCAATTCTGCCTGTCATTCCTGAAATCAACTCCACCCTTGACTATCAGTAATGATAACATTAATTCATCCTTCTCCACGTATTCTGTTCCCACTCTTAGCCAGTTCTTGGTAGACACATACAGAGAAACTCGCTTCTCAATGCCCATTGATTTATCTCCTAGGCTTCCCTAAGGTTCCTTTTCAACCTCAAGGAAAATTGCATGGCCCAATCCTTTCCTGTTCCTCTCAACTCTTTTGCTCTTGTGTTTTGCCCATCTTGATGCTTCACTGGAATGTCTGCCCTTCACCTTGGCATATATCAGCTTTCCAAGGTGGGCAGCCAAAAAAAAAAAAATCCTTGTAAATGGAAAACAACAAGCCTGTGTAAACTCTGCTCATTTTCCAAGGCCCATCCCTTTTCACCTCCTCTAGGAGCTTTCCTGTGATTATGTTTCAGCCAGCTGCCCCTGCAAGGTCAGCAAGGTATTGATTCTGTATTATGTGGATTGTTTGGATTGCATATGGCATTTTCCCAACAAGCTAGAACTTTCTTCTGCTTGCTTTTGTTGCTTGCTGCTTATTATATGCAGATAGGCTGTACTAGTTAGGAGAGGCCCAACTCTGTAGAATCAACAGCTCTGCCCTGAAATCTCAGGTGCCTCACACAGTGCAAACTTATTTCTTGCTCATGCTGTATGGCTACTGTGGGTTGGCAGGAGGCCCTGTTCCTTGCTTGCTTGAGGACCAGGGTGATAATGACCTGACACTCTGCAGCCGTGCATCTGAAAAGGTGCTGTCCAGTAGAACTTTCTGTAATGATAGAGATGTTCTGTGTCTGTGTTGTGTACTACAGTAGCTACCAGTTGCATGTGGTTGTGGAGAAATTGCCATATGGCTAGTGTAACTAAGGAATGGAATTTTAAATTTCATTTAATTTTAATTAGTTTAAATTACCACTTATGGCTAGTTTGCACCACATAGGACATTACAGATCTGTAACTTGGGGTTTCTTCACTCATCTCCCAGGTGTTGGGAGCAGAGAGCACGTGGAAAATTCTTGCCTGCTTTTCAACATCCACCCAAGAAGTAATCATTGGGCAAAACTGACCACCAGGCCTCATCTCACTGCAAGGGGGCTGAAGAATGTGAGGAAGCAAATGAATACTGAAAGCAAGATATACTTTGCCACAGAACTCTTCTAAATGCAGCTAAACCTTCCCACAGCTAAGATGCATGGGGTTCTGGGCAGTGGGGGGTAGACTGAAATGTCCATCTGGAGAGGAGGTCAGGGATGGATTGAGATAGAGCAGAGGAATCAGAGATGCAGCGATAGCCTCAGAGAGGGTTGGGAGCCTAGTCAGCACGATGCATGCCCAGCCTGGACCCAGAGTCCTGCCAAAGGTCTGTTCTTGGAGACCTTGGAAGGAAAGGGTCCCTTGAGGCTTTCGATTTTCAACCCCCCCCCCCTCCCAGGTGAGTCACCAGATGAACAGCAGGGCAGGAACCCAACATGAGGTCATCTGGGCCATACCTCCTGCCTGACCCTGGACCTCAGGCCAATTTGGGGAGTTTCTCAAGGCCAGTGAGGAAAGGGTTCATGCCAGAGCTGCTGCAGAACTCAGGTCATCACTAAGAAGTAGAGGTGAGTGCATGGATACTGTTGGGATCAGAGCCCCAGAGCTGAGGAATAGACCTCAAAGTCTCAACAAGGCAAGAAGACTGAGGCCCAAAGACAGATCACTCAGGAAGTTACTGGTCAAAATGTGGACGGTGCCCAGGTCCCTGGCCCTTTTTACTTACAGATCAAAGGGGTCTCTAAGGCAGTATTGCTCTGATTCAGCCTCACCATGTCCAGCTTGGTGCCTGGTTCCACTGATTTTATTTTTCCCAGAGACCCACATAACTCAGGCTCTTTCCACTTGTGATTTAAGTCCTTACTGTTGTTGGAACCCATTTCTTTTCCTTTCGTACCCCTAGGACAGAAGACAAAGCTCCAGCTGGCAGAGAAAGATGAATGTGAGAGAAGGAAAAGTTTTATCTAAGCCTGGAACCCAAGAAGAGAACCTCTGCCTGCCCAAATCAGATCAACACAAATCTATATTTTCAAAAAACCTAAAGCAAGGAAAATGTTAGCTTTATAAACTCCACTTTGGAAAAGTTTTAGAACAGACCTTATTATAGAGTTCCACTAAGGCACCTGGTATGGTATTTCATATGGAATTTGATTCACAGAACTTTTAATTTCATCAGTAAAATGTTATTAACAACTCCCATCTTGTAAGGCATCAAAAGTTTTTAAAACATGGTGTCCAATCAAAATCACATCTGTCTGTAGGTTCCTTAAGGTTCTCCAAATCACTAGGAATACAGAGGCCCCTGTCTGTTCAAATCAGGAAAATGTGAGACCCTTTTCATAAAGGAGAAACTGACATTAGAGTAAGAATTGGAGCCCAGACCTGGGAAGTTGTCAACCCTCTCTATGGCCAAGAGGAAGAAGTGTGTGGGACCTGGTCAGTTACAGAACTTTTTCAGTTCTGAATCTCACATCCTTTCTTCAGTAGGCATCCATAGAAGGGAATTGCTTCTGTGAGCGAGAGGCCAGGGTTCATTCAAGGAGCAAACTCTCTTCCTCTTTTATCTTGTCCAGGGATGCCCAAAGGACCTGCCCTCTGCTGATATCTACAAAAGATGATATTTTCAAAATGTCCAAGAGTCTCTGATCTGTGTGTTCAGCAGGATAACCAAGCTACTGCCTATCAGAGCAGGGGGCCTAACACCCCTTCCATTACTGGTTGGCTCTGATTATCTTGAGGCTGCCATGCTTTGAAGAAGTCAAACCACATAGAGAAATCATCAGTGTTGGCCCCAGTGCCAAAGGTGTGAGTGAGGAGCCTTCAGACAACTCCAGCCCCCATCCCCTGCCTGGGAGCCCACTCAGCTGGAGCACCAGACAGCATGTGCAGGCCCTCCCTGCCATGCCTTTTCTACTCCCACCCTACAGAATCTGGGAGCACTGGACGTGGTTGTTTTAAGCTGTAAAGTTGTGGGATCACTTGCTATGATAACCTTATGTGGAGGTCTCAGGACACCTGACATCTTCTCCACGCCACTCACTGCCATGAGAATTAATGAACTAGGCTGGCAATTCCTTGCTTAAGGTTTATTTTTCCCACTTGGCTCTAAGTTCTGGGAGGGCAGGATGCTGTCAGGGTCATCATTGTGCTTCCAGTGAGTTAGCCAGGGAGATGCTCAATGAATACTTAATGAATGACTGATCCCAACACTGTCCTCAGGCTGACCCCTCCACTACCCTCAGAATGACTCTGGCTCTGGATTCAGATTCACTCTAACTCTGGCCTCGGACCAACCCTTAATTCTGGCATCAAAGACCTAACCCTGGCCACAGCCTGACAGAGCCTCTCACTTTAGTGCCTGAGCACTAAGCCTAGCTTCAGACTGACCCAAAATCTTGACTTCAGAATCACTCCTGACTCTGACCTCAGGCTCAGTCCCAACCTCACACTGGCTGGGATGATCTGTCTCTGCTCCCCTCTCCTGGCTTATGTTGCCCTGCCCTCTCCCCATGTTCCTTCCACGTCACTGCCTTGCCCTTCTCTCAGTCGTCTGGAGGTATAAGGGCCTTTCAGGTGTCAGTACCTTCATATACAGGGTCTCCTTCCCACAGGAACACCCCCTCCTAACTCCTGCTATTTTTAAATCTTTCTTAAATACCACTTTTTCAAGGATCAATTAGTTTAAATGAGACCTTTAGAACTGCTCTTGGCATTTTTGCATTTCAAAAGCATATCTATAGGTGTGCATTTACTATTATGTCTGATGTCTTTCTCTTCCTTCAGACTATAAACTCCTTCTGTGAGTGTGGAGCCTAATAAATAATTGTGGAATGATTGAACAAATGATTAATTATCCCATCTCCTAGGAAGCTTTTTCTGTGACCTCCCTGCCATGGTGGAGTTCACATTTTCCCTCTGAACAGCCCCATGCCAGCACTTAGCCTAGGGGTGGGTTATTTGCCTTCACGCCTCCTGACCAGGCAGCCCCCTCCAGCCTGAACCTGGCATCCTCTCTCTGCAGCTCTAGCACGCACAGGCCCAATGGCTCAATAAAAGCTGGTTGAACTGTTGAACTGAATGATTCTTCTCCCCAGCCTCCTCTCTGGCCTCAGCTCTCACTGATTCATGTGCTAGGCCATCAGGACCAGCACTTCAACCCGAGAAGGAACAAATGAAGAAGCTGAGAATTCGGCAGTAGGAGACAGTACAGACATCCATCTCCTCCTGCCCTCTGTGCTCAGCACCATCCTCCTGAGGGTTTCAGGCAGTCAAAAGTTCAGGCTCCATGTTTTCTGGAAGAGGGAGGGGAATCTGTGTTTGTGGGGGGGGGGGGTGACGGGTAAAAAAGTCCCCAAACTCAAATCACGCACACAGAACAACAAGCCATAAAACAGAGCACCATTGGGAGAAGATGGAGTCACATGGTGGGAATCTGGATTGCAGGGGAGGGGGGAGGTGGCTCTTGAGAAAAGGCAGCGTCCTCAATGGGAACCAGATGGGCTGTGTGTTCTTAAATAGAATCCCAGGCTTTCAGTGCTGGGCAGGAGTGGCCTGGGGTGCTCTTCCCTTGGCCCCTTGGTGTGCAGAGGGGGAAAGGGAGGCAAAGGGAGAAGAAGGGAGGCCCCAAGACTGCAGCCCAGCCAGCAGCTTCCACACCCCAGGCTTCTGACACTGGGTCAGGACTCCACTCACCCTGCCACGCTGTCTCTCAGCCCTTTTGCCAATATCTCCAAATTAGAAGCATATCGTCAAACAGTACTGTCATTTGCCTTGTTTTCTGTCCTTTTTTCCAATTCTTTCTCTTTGGAGTATGATTTTAGAGGTGCTGGAAGTCTTTACTGTCCCCAAATCCCCATCTCCATCCCTGCCCCATTCAAAGGACCCATGACAATAGCGCTATGGCCCATGACAAACACTGTGCTAGGGCCTTTACAGCTATTTACTTTCCTAATCGTCCCATTGCTTCACAACAGTGGGGTTGGTTTATCAGTTCAGTAACCCAGAGAAGGGGAAGAAGGATTGGAGGTAAGGCTGGGGATATAGGAATCAGATACTGTTATTTTGCTTCTTACTAACCAATTAGGATTTAGCATCTTAGCTAGAGACCCTTGTAGCAACAAACACATGAAATAAAGTTGACCCTTACGCGATCAGACAGATTTCTTGAGATATTAAAGAAGAGGTCTCTTCTTTTCCCAGCATTGCTTATCACTCCCCCTGTGGAAATTATTGTAGGAAAACATGACCTTGGACATGACTTTCATTTCCTCACTGATACCTCCTCCTTGGAAAAGGCACGACTGGTCTCTTTCCCAGTTTCCCCAAGAAACAGACTCTCTAGGTGACTTGCACAGGGCTCTGTATGTGGCTTTGTGGACTTGTGTGCTGCATACCACTGGAGGACCATTCATATGGCCCATGTGTGCCCTGCTTCCCCCTAAGCTTTCCTGATGTCTGTCTATCCAGCAGGAGGAAACCTTCTCCAGGGCACAGTGAGGAAACCTTGCTTGTCTGGGCCTCAGAGGTATTCCTATCTCTTATCAAGAGGGGTAAAAAAAAAAATGAGCACACTCTTATTTCAAAATCTATCCCTCTGGCTGTCATGGGGCTGAAAATTCTTCCCTTTGAATCCCTATCATGGGGCTATCATGGTCTGTAATAACGAACCACTCAATCTTCCAACCAACAGTGGCCAGTACATTATTGTATGTGCCTGGCTTGTAGGTGAGTAAGCCCTCCATTATGAGTCACAGGGTAACATTAGTTGGATGCAGAAAAGTGGATGGACTTAAACTTGTGCCGGAGGAAGACTTGACTGGACATCCTGAGGTATTAGATGAAGCCAGGAGGTGCCCTTATTTGGGGCTTGAATAATCAGGGTAACTAGAAGAGACATTTCCTGGGACAGGAAGGTTGACCTCCTTTCTCTTCATCCCTGGTTGCCTCAGCTTGTGACTTCAGCAAGTGAGGAATGTACTCCAGCCTCTCTCTACTTCCTTCCATGCAAAGCAGATGGCGAGGGAAGGAAGAAGGCCAAGCTTCCATGGCTGTCATCACACGTTTTGCTTTTAATGCAGCAGTCAGTAGTGCATGGCCTTGTCATCCCTTGCCTCCCACTCCTGGTTCTTCTAGCACTACTCTAAGCTAAATTCAGCACACTGAGTTGGATTGACTGAGCACCTGCCATGGCCCAGCCACGTGAAGGCACTATGGGTTCACAGGGAGAAGGAATATGTGTCTAGTCTGCTAGCGTGGCCTTGTGGCATGAGATTGGTCAAGGGTACAGGCAGAGAAAGGTCAGAACAGCCAAGGGGAACTTCTGGAGAAGGTGGGGGTTGATTTGGTCTGAAGGATGAGTGTAGCTGGGTGGAGAAGACAGGAAGAGAACTCCCCAGGAAATTACTTTCATGGTAGAAAAGGAGAGTTCTAGAAAGTTGTGGGCATTTATTTGATCAAGTAGTGAAAACTGGAGGCAGAGATAGCAGTTCCTAAGGCAAGACAAGGCCCATTCCTATTCTATACCACATACCACTACTACCACCATTCCTGATCCCTAACTCACCCTTGATGCTTCCCTTTTCCCCAGTGAGGTGGGAAATGTCATTTTATCCATTTCTGTGCCTTATTAGCCCAGCCCATAACCAGAGGGCCAGCTCAGAGACCTCTGCAGATGGCCATTTGTTCATTTTCTGTTCCGAATCTTCCCACATAGAAGATCAATTTGTCCATTCTTTTAAAAACTCCAGTGGTTTTCAAAGTATAGACCCCAGACCAGCAACAGCAGGCCCCTGGGAATCTGATAGAAACGTAAATCTTGGGCCTCAACCCCAGACCTACTAAATCAGAAACTTGGGTCATAAGGGAGTCTGTGTTTTTATAAGCCCTCCTGGGATTCTGATGAAAATCATGTTTAAGAACCATGGCTAACCTAGGACAAAACTTCTCCAAATTAGTGAGACACCTCTTCTGCTACTCCCCTCAGCCTCGTTCTCCTGTGAGAGCCCCTCCAGGGTCAAACCCTGCCTCCTCCCTAGAAGGCATTTCCGCCCATATGGACTCTTTAGCTCTTTAAGTTTATTACTCACTCTCCCCACTCCTGCCCCACCTCCACCCCTGTGGAGTGAAGGCCAGGTGGCAGCATCTGCTTGCTTCTCATCCTCCCACCCCACCCCCAGCATGGCCAGCCATGGCTGGCCACATCCATGGAGTATCCTCAGGGGAGCCAGCAATGATAGTGGAGTACATTCCCCAGCCTGGAAATAAATAGGTTGACATTGTGGAAAGGGAAAGGGGGATAGCAATCACTCTACTCTAGTTCATCTGGCTCCCATTTTTGCCCTAGAACTCTGACCCTAGCAATGGAGATGGGCAACTCATACTTGGCCCCTTTGGGTTAGACATAGGAGGCTGGAATGAATTCAGACTCAAAATCAATTGTTGACTGGCTGTCTCCTGGAAAGAGATGATGTTATTGGCCTGAGGAAGCTCATACACCAATGTTAGAGCAGACTAGGGAACTTAGTTTTCTCTAAAACTATAGTAAGCATGATCTACTCACTGAACAGATCATGACTTCCTTCACAGAGCTCTGGGCAAAACTGGAGGAGTCACTGTGTGGGGTGGGAGCTGTTTCCTACCAGTCAGGCCCCTCCTTCTGTGAGCATTTGGCTAAAGACCAAATACTTTCATATCAATTTTTTCATTGCTTTCATCATTTTCTTAGTTTAGTCCTCAGGCAAGGAGTGTGGATTCTACTTTCTTGAAGCTTTGTTTGCTTAAACTGTACACACTAGGTGGGGATGAGGGTGTTTGGTGCCAAAAAAGGAGGAGGCAGGATCCCCCCTTTTGGCAGACAAGCTAGCAGAGGAGGCTGTGTATATGAGCATGTTTGTCTAACTGCTCACTCTTAGCAAAAGGCCAGAGGACCAGCAGTTCTAGCTCAAGATCTATCCCCAGTAAAGTGTGTGGCTCTTGGGAAGATGATCAGTTAGCCTTGCTGGTTGTCAATTTACTTGTCCAAAAATGGAATGATACTAGCTCTGGTACCCCCTCAGGACCATTAAGGGTATCAAAGGTGCCAGTGTCTGAAATAGCATTAAAAATATAGATGACTACATAAGCAAAAACATAATCACGGACAGCCATGGCCTTTTCCTTGAAGGTGGTTTCTTCATGTTTTGTATTCCCTAAAGCACCTAGCACCACCCATGACAGGTGGTCAATCAATACTTGTTGAATGGATGAAACAGAAGACATGGTCCCTGTCTCCGAGGAATTGGAGACCAAGCTGGGGGATGGTGGTGGGATGAGAAGCACACAATGGAAGAAACTTAAGAAGAGTAGGGAGAGGCTCTTGTTAGCTCAGACACCTCTAATTTAGAATTTGTGATGCTTTTACCATGCCAGAGAGGAATTGGACCCTGCTGATGGAACATGTGCTGAACAAACTCCTAGTGGGAACAAGATAATAATAACAGGAGCTCCCAGCCTCCGGGTGTGCATTGTGTTCCAGATGGCAGAGCAAGTGCTGTGCCCTTTGGCAACATCTAGTTACACAGAAGCAGTTAGCATGCCAATCACAAGTGAACTCTGACCTTATCCCAAAGCAGCCAGGACCTTCCGTTGACCACACTTTGTTAATGGCTGTCCAGGGTAAATTCATGTATTTAAGGAACATAAAATTTTATTTTGTTAAGACTGAACTGTTACTGGCCTCCCTCTGCCTCCACCCAAGCAGCTCAGATCCATTCAGTTTTCAAATAGAGTTGATGACACAGCACACCCAACCAACTCCATCTCGTCTCCCCCAGAACAGGGGATACAGACTTTCTGTATAGTAATCAGGGGGAACTTTGGGCCTGACAGAGACCTTCTGGGCTTTAGGGGACCCTAAGTTAGCCACTGCTTTCCCCAGGGCCACAATTGCCCCATCACCACCACCAAATAAAAGAGGAGGTTTGACCAGATGAGC